GAGGTAAATTTCACTAAACTTGATATTGTATTGGATTATCTGTAGTTAGCTTTCGTTTTTCTTTAAGTAAAAGAGATTCAAAGCCTAAAACTGTAGGCCTTGGAAAACTTTTTGTCGAAGAATCTTCTAAGAACAAAACTAGCCCCTGGGGGTGGTGGTAAGTTGTGTACAAAATTCCTAAGTGGGAGAGTATATTCGCGCAAAAAAAAACAAAAAAAAACCATGTAGTGCATTTCGATTCGATTTCACTGCATGATTTTTGTTATGGGAGAAATTATCATCACTTCGAATAAGAAATAATTGAAGATTTTTCCCCCGATCTTATTTTCACCTTTCAGTTTCATTCAAATTGTTCTCCCTGTGACTTCCGTATCGGGGGCTCCGCTTTTAGGCAGTGCCTAAATATATATATTATGATAAACAGAATATTACATGGGTGCTTGGAGATACGAAGTTTATCTTCTCGTGTTCAAAATCTCTCACTCTCAGATAAATTTTGTATCTCCGCGCGCCCATGTAATATCCTCTATATAAATGACCCGAACAAGAATTTTCAACACATGTTAAATGTTCAGTTTTATCTTTATTTTATTGATGGTTACTCTGTCAATTTGTTAACAAGTTTTATCGTTTATGATTAAAGTCATAGTAAATTAACTATGTTACAATTCAGAGTTAACATTGTGAAGATTCCTTTAGTTGGTCTTTGCAATTTTTACAAACAGTATCTTAAGCCAATCAAGAGGGTTCCGATGGGGGTACCCAGTTATCAGTTAATTACCAAATTTTAGGCCGAATGTCGGAAAACAAGCGTGGTCATAATATCAAGAAAAATCATGAAATATCAGTTAACTTTTAACTACTAATTTTGGATTATTTGTCATTACTGTTTTTGTTTTTGGGCCAGTTATCAGTTAACTACTAACAACATTGGCACCGTCAATCAAATTTCAATAATTTTGACAACTTTGGGTCTGCGTTTATGGCTCTTCGTAGATGACGCCAGTCGTTGACGTTCTAAAGAAAAAACCAACACAGCAATAGAAGTATCACAATAAATCATCGTCAGTCAACATTAGATCACTGACACCTTTAATTATTGTTTAAAGGAAAGCATGGATGGCGTATATGTAGCGGTGAATGAGTCACAACTTAAAAGCTCAATTGAGTAAAACGAGATTGTGTCTGTATGTCTGTTTATTGTTATCGAGAATGTCTTTTCTGTTACCTCTAGATAGTTGATCTTTCGTCGGAGTATCTCTGCAAATGTTGCCGCTATTGGAACTGGTTTTCCTGGCTCATTAGCCGAATCTTCATTTTCAGTATCAAGTTTGGTACGTGGGCTTGGTCTTGGTAGGACGGTGGTCGTGCCGTCACTCTCCTTGACCACCAACGCCAATAGCGCCAAACTCACAACCAAAGCTTTTGATTTCATCATGATGTTGATAACTGGCCGTTCTAGCTTGAGAGTACCGCTAAAGAACGTGTGTAAATCTGTTTAGAGTATCTAATCGGTGAGAAAAACGACACGGGTTTAAGAATCCAGATAACAACTCTTCGAACTCGTACTAAGGGTCGATTCTACTGGGTATTTATGGAGTTCGATAGCTCTAATACTCTTAAACATAGACGTCTTTTGGAGAGAAAAAATCTGGTGTCTGGAAATCTATGTCCAGAGCATAGGTGTATTGTGCTGCACGGCAAATGAGATCACGTTATCTTGTTTTTTTTTCCTCGACAAATCTCCTTGAGAAAACAGTGTAGAGCGCGCGGACCATGCTGCAAAAAACAACCGATGGCAAATTCAATTTTAAAAATAGCATAAAGTGTGCCTATGATGTTTATAAGCATGAATATCCGATATTCCTCTTGATTCAGTATTATTTTTTATCGAATAAGAAAAAAAAAAATGAGTAACAACACAATAAAAATAATCAAAAATTTTAGAAGAAAATAATTTTTACCTCAGCTCTAGAAATTTGATAAGCGACATACAATATTTGCGTCTGATCTGCATGGGCGCTCGCCCTGGTAAATCCCTATGTATACAAATCAGCTTAACAACCCCAACAACACGAATAAACGAACTTGAAAAGAATTGTGATCAAAATTATTCACAATGTTAACTATAAATATCAAGTGGTAAAAAACACAAGCTTGGATTGCGATAATTCGAATAAAAATTGAATATTGATCAAACTCAATCGTGTTCTGTCTGGTGTCTTCATGTTTTCTCTTGTCTTTTCCTGTCTTCTCTCGTATTCTCTTTTCTTGTTAATGTGCTTATCAAGACAAATTGTTTCAGGTTGAGTATTTGGCAGAAAACAACACCGCTAGTCAAAATATCACGAAGGCATTATTCCTTTTGATCTTCCTATCTTTCCTTCACGTACAAGCTTGGTTTCTGTGGTGTAATGTTATAAGAAAATGTGATGGGGATTCTTCAAAAATTTCAATAAAATCATTGGAACGTGAAATAAAGCCTCGAAATTTTACCTGATCATTTAGAAATAGCACTTCTTTCGCTCTGTGTGGTTATGTTTTGAATTTAGGCCGTCTTAAGGATTTTCCCCCACTAGTAAGAAATAAGAGGGCCCATACATTTCCTTATAAAATGACACCACAGAAACCAAGCTTGGGCTACCTGTGGATTCATGCGCATGTAATTTTTAGCACCGGCTTTATTGAGGACGCACGCAAGAAAAAACGCATTCGAAAAGTAAGAGTTTGCGCTCAAAAACTCATTCACTGGACAAGGCAAGACAGTACTTCAATACCGACGACTTTTAGTACTGTTTAATGAACGAGCAGGAACGTTTTATCGGGTTTAAAACCACGAGGGGTAGCCCATTGGTTCAATGGCTCATTAATTATTTATAAAGTTTTGAAATGGTAAGAGTGCCTCGATATAAGAGAGAGTTAAATAAATAAGAACACAGTTTTCACCAGATGTCAATATTTTATCTTCAGTTTATTGATGTTTGATTTCCTTTATTGATTTGTTAACAAGTTTCATMTATGGTTGCAATTGGAACATTGATATATTTGGAAAGCCTTCTCATGTAGTTCTGTTATTGTAGTTTATTTAGAATTATTATTGGGATGCAAGAAACAGTTTTGATCATTACTTTTTGGCGACTCAGGGGCCGTGTCGATGGCTCTAGTAAGAGGAGGACGCCAGTCGTTCTAAATAAAAAAAACAAAACACAGATGATCAACTGGCTGACTCGAGGACTCGATAGGATGATGATGGTCACCTTCATAATCATCACCGCGTCATGTTTTGGCATCATTATGATGCATTATCATCACCATTATCACTATCGTCATCATCACCATCCATCATCATCATCATTTTCGATCGCCATCGCCATCAGCATCATCATCATCATCATAGTTATCATCGTCATCACTATCAACGCCACCATCACTATCATGGGAATTTAACAGGGTTTCCACAAAGTGGATTTTCTTTCACTGAATTCCAAGTGGAATCTCAGAAGTTCAATTTTGCTGAGAGATGAAACCCGGACATCCCGGAGTATAAAACCCCCAAAGCAAAGGAGAGAACAAACAACTGCGCGCTCAGGTACYGAACACGGAGTCTGGGAATTGAACCCGGGTTTTGGCGATAGGCGAGCGCTCTCGCCGCTACGTCCCACGACTGCAATGTCCTCTATCTATCGTACATAGCACAGGCCTAATAACGTTTTGCATTTTTTGATAATTGTGGATGTCTTTTTCCTTACCTCTTGAAAGTCGATWATGTGGCGCTTCCAATCCTGAGGTTTCGTTCGTGGACTTGGTCTTGGTAGGACGGTGGTCGTGCCGTCAYTCTYCTTGACCACGAMCATCAATAGCACCAAACTCACAACCAAACCTTTTAATGTCATCATCACGAGCWGTTTTAGCTTAGAATCTCAAGAGTATCGCTTAGAATCTGTATTAAGGCTTGAAGTGATCTGTAGAGTATCGTTTGAGGGAAGTGAGACGGGTCTGAGAATCTAGAGAGCAACTCTTCAAACTCGCACTAAGTTAAGTCAAATCGCTTGAGCATTTATGGAGTCATGATAGCTCCATGCTGTGCTAATTCAGTTCTATATACGAACGCAACTGCGTTATGAATAAAAATCTCTTGTCTGTAGATCTAGAAGGTTCGTTTATTTCACGTGGGGTTTTCGTGGGTGGCCACACAGTGGTACCCTTGCAAAATGGCACAAAATGGCACAGCTAAAGAAAACTGCTGTGAAGTTCCTAATGCTTTAGAACAAAACTGAATAGCGATTATTTTTCTCGTAGTTCAGAATTCAGAATTTGGTTGACAAAACATTGGCTTATTGCGGATGATTCTAGGATATCTTTCTCAAAACTTTACTYGTTCTCATCAGATTTCAATTTATTGAACATGCGACGTCTTTTGAAATAATGAACTAAAACTACAGAGAAGCTAGATTAGCACAACGCTTTTTGTTTATACGTTTTAGATGGAAGAGAAGAGAAGAGAAGGAGGAGAAGAGAAGAGAAGAGAAGAGAAGAGAAGAGAAGAGAA